TTCCATTCCTTAAACACGAGCTGTGAAATTCAACTTTCTGTTGTTTATGCAAATTTGACTTTGTAGTTCTTTTGTATATAAAGTGCTTTGCAGAATCCACTTCAAATAAGCAAGGCAGGGGAAGTAGTGTAGTGGCAAGTTCATTAACATTTAGCGGAATAGTCACAGCTATATTATGTAGGTGGGTGTGACACACCTGCGTTTTGTTACAGTTGTCCTAGTGCCCTTTGGGAAGGTGGCTTGTCAGGTAGGGGGTGGAGAATAAGATTGGTGCTGGGTGTTCCTCCCTGCAGGTATGAGCTCTGCAGTGAAGAGCTTTCTCTGTGTCTTTCTCTCTAGCTTCCATTGTTATAACATGTTAAAAGGCGAGAGAAACCAGTGTCTTGACACTTTCTAAGGTCTGAAGCTGAGCATATAACAGCAGGGCTTGCACTTGACTTCATTGCAGTGGTTAAGCACGAATCCATACGAGGAGCTCCAGAGCAGATAGAAAGTAGCATTCTCTTGCTGGCTTGCAGATCAAAGGTCTGAATGGTCTCTATCTGCTGTTTACACAGTAGAGTGGGAAGGAGCTTAGGCTCTTCCTTAGGCTTCACCACAGGCAGAAGAAGCCTCTCTGGGAAGGCAAACAGGCTGTTTAGTTTTTTTTGTTTTCTTTCAGACCTTTCTGCAACTGCTGAAAAACTTTAGTTTTATGAGCAAGCGCTGAAGCCCATTAAGCAGTTGTTCTTAGAAGCTGATGTCCCTCTTGGGACACTTCTGTTGGGGGCTAGGGGAGCCTAAAGGGTGTGAAGTTAAAGATCAGTAGTCATAACTCATTATGGTAAGTGTCTGCCACTCCACTGATAGGCTTACTTGTTACTGACTGTTGTTGTGATCCAAAGTGGGTATTATATCTTGAAAATGTTTGAAGGGAGATAAGTCTTTGCAGTGAATCAGGAAAAGGGCAATATAATCTTTAAAATGCAGCCAACATTCTTGTAGGATGGTTCTACTTATTTCCGTATTTGTTTGTGTTAAAGTAGATATGCAATTTCTGCTTTTTTCCTCACCCACTGTGTTCTTTCTATATTCTTTATGCTGTAACTGTATGGATGCCCTTTCACTCTTTACAGGTAGCATAGAAGTCTAAAAGTGCACTGTATTGTTTTAAGAATGTGCAGCAATAGTGAATTTATATTTGTAGGTGTAGCCTAATAACTTATATGCTGTTTTGATCTTCAGTATGTATTGAATTCAGTATTTTATGTATTTCAGATGATAAAAAAGATATTGACCATGAAACAGTGGTGGAAGAGCAGATCATTGGAGAGAATTCTCCTCCAGATTACTCAGAATACATGACAGGAAAGAAACTTCCTCCCGGTGGAATACCCGGCATTGACCTCTCAGACCCCAAACAGCTGGCTGAATTTGCTAGGTAAGTGGGAAGAAAGGATTTTTTTAACTGAAATGTTTTTCACTCCATTGGTTTAATTAAGAAACTGTTAGGGAAAAATTTAAATAGTAAATTTAGTGTGGCTTTTATTGTTCCATTCAATCATCTTTTAAAATAAAGGGTTTCCTTCAGAATGAAATAGTGAATACGGTATTGATAACTGAGCTTTATCTTCAGCAGGTTACTTCTGGTCTTTGGTTCTTGTTAGGTAGGGAAGGGCCTAAATACATTGACAGACTCCATCTTTGACAATGTATGCTTCATGTGAGTAGTATTAAATTCTTCAATGGCAAAGGATTAGGCAAATGAAATGCTGCATTCAGGTTGCTCAGTACAAGAAAGCTAGACTACAACCCTTATTTTGTAAAGCCAGTTACCGTGTATTGTGTGGTTCCCCCCACCCTGTTACCCTGTTTCTTAAACTTTTTTTTTTCTTCGTGGAATCATGCGTCATCCTCTTGTATGCTGCTGGGGTTTTTTCCTCCAGTTTTACAATTGTGGATATTTCATGGATTTTTTTTTTTTTTTTTTCCTCGTGAAGCAAAATTGTCACCCTTTCACATATTTTTACACTGCCTTGAATTACAACGTGCCTTTTACTTTCAAGAAGTGTCAAGTGGTTTTTACCCTCTCCCTTCCCGGAGCTCCTGGAAGCTCAGGGCCCCGGTGTTCAGGGTGACCTGTAGCCACCAGAGGGCAATCTTGAGGTCACGAGAGAGAAGCCTGGCTCTTGGAAGTTATGAAACTCAGGCTTCCCGTGCAGCTTCTTTCTGTGCGCACTGTGCTTGTAATTACCGAAGGCTTACTGCTCCTTTCAGTGTATGGGCAATATTAATGCTGGTGTCCCCCAAAATTTGAGTGCAACTACACTTTTTGCAGCTGTTATGATAACCAGTGTTTTTAATGTTGAAAGCAAAGCATGTATATGAAACTAAACTCATTTTCATTTGGGCGTGAGCTGGGTATTCTTCAGAGCTCTGGTGCAGGATTCCGTCACAGAGAGAGCAGGTAGTTGGTCAGATGTTATTCTTACTTCCTGCGTCAGCTAGTGAAAAGAGTACTACGCTTTTCTTTACCACTGGGTTTTTCTCAGCTACTTGCTGGATGACAAGGACTGTTGAGACTACTTCCAGTCCAGCTTCTTGGTTACATGGATCCTGGTATTCGGTGCGTGCGTGCACTCTTGTTTCTACTCCTGCATCTACGCTTAGATCTTACTGCTTCTAACCACCTTCTTCTGTTACTCTTCCTTCTGCTGCCTTTATGCTTGTAGGGGAGGATTGCAGGCACAGGCTCTTCTCACAATTATTTTCAGTAAAACTTGTGGATTTATGCACAAAATCTGTGGATTTTGAAAATTTCTAATAATATGTCCTAAAGCAGGGAGCAAGCACTGTAAAAGTATCTGATCTGGAAATGCACAAAAAAATTACGAATGGCTGGAAACAAGGACTTACTGGAAGTGGCGGGTGATTCTATTGATACTGCTGTTATTTGGTTTACTAGTGCCGATGGCTTTTCCTCCGAGACCTCCTGAAAGGCTAATCTACGTTTTCTTTGTGAAAGCAAATGTTCAAGTGATGTTCTGTGTATGCGTAGTGTTCCAGTTCTGAAATATTGCTTATACGTTTCTGCTACAGTCATGTGCCTAGATTTGGTATTCTCACTTATTTTAAAGCATGGTAGAACGTTTGGTTCTGTTAAAGATTTGGGTACTGAATAGCTGTGTTTCGCTATGAAGCTTAGATAGTTTCTCACAGGGTATTCCGCATGCAAACACTGAATGTTATTCTCCCGATTGGTTTGAATACTTGAAACGGTTGCCAGAATTTGAGCTTCTTGAAATGTCCAGATTGCTTCTGTCAGATCTTTCTGCATGTTCCTTAATATCGTCAAATGTACTGCATCTTTGGGTAGTAGTTATTTTTATGTTGAGAAAATAGTGGCACCTGGCAGTAGTATAAAATTGCCACTTTTTTGTTCTTGGTAGAATGTTCTAGAAAGTTCTAGGGCTAGAATTTGTAACATGATGGCAAGATTGAGTTTTGTTTGTGCTGTCTCTTATTGTACTTTTGGTATCTCCCTCCACAGCAAATAGAATGAGATCTGCTTTAGTCATAAGACAAATATACAATGGTAGGGTGAACAACAGGGGGCTTGTTGCTTTTAGCAATAGCCCCAAGATGTCCCAAACCCATGAACAAGCGTTCTAGGAGCTTAATTGTAAATATGTGGAAAATCTCAAGCATTAGCTATTTTAAGAAATCTTCTTTAATTTCTTGGTCAGGATCAATGACTATCAAAATTCTAATCTTGCCTTCAAAAAAGGGGGCGGGGGAGGGGGAGAGCCCTCCCCATTAGTTACATGTTGGATCCTAAAAGCTGAGGATCATGTTGGATCCATGTGTATAGCTGAGGCTGATAAAATACGGTTGTATTAGAACATGGCTTGCTAAAGTCTTGATTGTGTTGGAGTGAAGCATGTCGAGGGGACTCCTTGTAGTTAATAACACAAATTTAAGATCTAATACATGCAAATCTCTTCTACTAGTCAAAAACAATTTTTGACAGTTTTCTTGTACTGGAATTGGGTTTAGAGGTACTGGGAATGTGGTTGTTCGTGCTAAAAGAATATGCTTGTTAAAAAGTTCTTTGAAGGTTTCAAGCATTGCTTACTCTGAGATTTAGTTTGTAAAAACTCTCTCACCACTTACATTCTGAAAAGTCTGAGCAGCAAGTGAATTTGAAACTTGATTATCTTCAAAAATTACTGAGTAGCTTCATGTACTCTGAGTACAGTTTTCATGTTTCAGTAACAAAGTCATCTTTTACTGGCTTAAAACATTTTGTGCACAATACCCACATGTAAGGAAACAACAGAACTTGCTTGGAGAATTGCATGCTAAGTGTATTTTATGCACTGGAGAGCAAGTTGTTTTGGGATGCCTTCCTGTTTTCATCAAGGTAGTTGGAAGAACTGCATTTTTTTTCTTGCTTTTAACAAACAAAAATTAGCTACTCAAAACCAAGACAAATTCGCTCTTTAGAACTATGCAGCTTCTTTTGAATACGGTTAAATTGACTGACACATTTGCATTGGTTCGTGGGAACAAATTTCTTAGGTTCAGTTTAAACACATGGACAAAGCCAGTGCGCTTGAATAACTTAAAACCTTTTGTGGCCTAAACACTTTTATGTTGGAACTGAGTTTTAGTCATAACCGATTTTAGGTGAGGTTCTGGAGTTTAGTTGTTCCTGTTGCCGAGTTGGTTTAGACAGTGGTAGGGCTGGGGGGTGGACTTGAACTCCTGAAGTACTCTGCAGCACTGCAACTTAAATATCTATAGGTTTTCAAAACTGCTTAGTAATTCAGTGTTCGAATGGGCATCGCTGCTGCTCAGCAGCTAGATGGCACTAGTACAGTGAGCAGTTATGCTGCTCATTGAGATACAGTTGTTCTTTGCTGCTTTTTTTGGTGCATTTGCTACTGAGTCATGCAGCAGGAATTCTGGACCCTTTAACTGGAGCTATTGCAGTTATTCCTGGAAAGGCTTTTATACATCCTAAAAGTACTGAACACGCTTTGAATAAACAAGCTGTGTCAGAACCTTAAGATATATTCAGTAATGAGTGGATGGATTACCATAAGTTATACCTGGCTGGGCAACTTATGGCCTTCTACAAATTATTTCATTCTATTTTATGACTCCTGCATTTTCTGTAGCCCACTTAACAATGTGATAGAATGAAAAGAAAAAAAGAACTTGTGCATTTTTCTTAGGCAACCTTACCTCAGAATGTGAAGTATGAGTTGCAAACGATCTGCTCAGAAAGAAATAAAAACTAATAAGTTGCCACATTCGCATTTGATACCTTTGACTGGAACAGTGAAAATCCCTTCAAGTGAAATAAAATGCTTCATCCTAGTCAAAATTGATTACAAGTAATTCTGTAGTTAGGTGTGAAGAAGTCTTTGCTGCTTGGCCCTAAAAGGTTGGGACGTAGGAAGGGCGCATGACAAAGACTTCTTTAAAATTCCTCTTAACAAAACCATTAAAACGATATCTCTGATTTTTCTCCCCCCTTCCTCCCCCTACCCTCTTGAGACATACATGACCAAACTGGCTAAAGACAGCAGAATACAGACATGAGTAAAATACCAAGAAATAAAAAGGGAAGATGCTATAGTTGGGAAATGGGCACGGTAATGAACCCTAGTGGTAAAAGCTTTCCTTTCCTTTCCATGGCTTTATCTTCTGCTCTTAGTACCCTTTCTGAAAGAGTTCCATTGTAAGAACTGCCCTTCCTGTTGAGACGGCCCTCCAAAATGGATAGAAAACAAAGAGGAGGAAACTGCATTAGAGTTTGAAATTGGACCCCCTCCTTAAAAGCGACAAAGCATTCTGGTCGCCTAGATTTATATGACTTAAGCCTCTTTCTGGGGTATAGGATTGCCTGCTGTTTTTGTTCTCGTTGCAGAAAAGCTTAAAGGGCAGTAAACTGACAATTACTTCAAAGTGGTGTTCTGGCATCTTCCGGGGGAGGGGAAATCTCTTGCTCTGTTCCACATTGCAAAGGTCACTTTCTCTGTTTAGCATACAGGATGATAACTGGAACAAAAGTAGTAATTGTTTTTGCCAGAGCCTTGGAGTGAAGGAGAACTTTTCCGTTTTACAACAGTTTTCTGCCTTACTGTGACCAAAACATGCTGACACTGCCTGTGGATTCTTTGATTGTAGATAGATTCCTAGGACACTTTGCACCACTTCCCTTGTGTATATTTATCCAAAAGCCAGTCTAGCCAGTTTCAGGAGTTCTTTGGCACAGATAAATTCTTGCAGTGGCATAGAGCCACAGCACTTGCGTT